CAGCAATACCTTAATTCTAATGTCTTCCAGCATCTTGATTATTGGTTTTGCCCTTGCTTCCAAAATCCATTTGTTGAAAGACTCAGTAAAATTATTATCACAGGAGTAGTTTTTGCAGACAGTGTCAAAAAAGGCCCTGTACCAATGTTGTGGTGGATACCATAAAAGACCTTCGACTACTTTTTTAGACACAGAACCCATGGACTTTAATTGGTCTTCAAATTCCCCTCCATATGTACTCTAAGCAAACCACCAAACATCTTCTTCATCTGTACACCACTCCAAGACTTAGACCAATTGGCTTCTATGTGTTTTGCACACCATCTATCTTGTAATTTTGGAAGAAAGCACTAACAACACCAATCAAGCCCTGTAATAATAAGAAAAAAATAGAATAGAATATCTTAAAAAAATTCAAGTGTATACAATAACTATAAATAAAAAACTGTCAAACACTTGGAAAATTACCTTTTGCATATCAGACATTAATGTCAATCCTTCACCATCTGTCAACCCCAATGAGTTCCTCAGCAACTCAATGAACCATTTCCATGTTCTAATAGTTTCTCTATCCACTACTGCCCAAGCAAGTGGATAGACATTCTTCATTGAATCTTGACCAAGTGCGACCAATAAAATTCCCTTGAACTTGCCTCTTAAAAAGGTGTCATCTAACCCTATAAATGGTCTCAAACCAGCTCTCCAACCACTTTTCAAAGCCTGAATACAAATATACATTCTCAAAAATTTTGCTTAGTCCATGTTCCAATAAAGCCTCTTTGGATATGTTTATAATTACATCAGTACTAGGATTACTGTCCCTTAACTCTTGAGCATAACCCTCCAATTTATTGAAATCATCAACATAGCTACCATCTAGTTTTTCCAGTACAAGTCTTTTAACCCTCTTCATTTTTGAATAACTAATATTATGCTTAAATTTATCATGTACAATCTTTCTCATTTCAGTCATTTTGCAGTTAGGATCATTTTGGACCCTATTCTTAAAGTAGTGTGCTAGAGCTTGTTGAGTAGCTCTTCTATTCTTGAATGCTTCTGGACATGTATGTTTTGTTTGCAAAGTCTTAATTTCAAATCCTTTCCCTTTCTTAACTTCAGAAATAAGACACACAAAAGGACAACCAACAATACATTTATATCTAACTCTAACAGAGTCACTCTTGTCAACTCTAAGGGCAACCTTCCTAGCAATTGAGTAGTAATTTACAACCCTTTTAGCTTCATCAAGTTTCTTAAAACTCATACCTTTTTCCAACTCTTTAAAGTTGTCAAGTTGATCATTAATTTCTCTTTTCTTTTCCAATCTAAAGGATTCCAATTCTTCACTATTGTAGTCACTTGGATAAGGCTCATTTTCATCATTTTCTTTCTCACTTGATTCACCTTCAGTTGCGACATCTATTCCAGCATTCAATGTGACTAGATTAGGTTCATTCACTGTGACTAGATTAGGTTCATTTTCATCATCTTCTTCCTCACTTGATTCACCTTCAGTAGCAACATCTACTGTGACTAGGTATGGTTCATCATTGTGGCTGATGTCAATAGCTAGAAAAACATCATCCCCCTCATCTACAGCAAATAATTCAAGTACACCAGACTTAATAGACAGTGTTGTCTGTATTGTTCTTATGCCAGAATTCCCCTCAATCAAATAATACCTCCCAGAAGGTCCTTTGAGTAGAAGTTGTTGGACCTTACTAAACCTAACTTTTCATGGAACTCTTCACATATGTCTATATATGACAATAAATATGGATCATATCCTTCCAAACATGAGTGAATTTTTTAATGTAAATAACATTAGGTGTTAGTACCCACTTGCCCCCATAATAGAATAATAGGTCCACCTTGTCAACCATTCTTCAAGAAAAGGACGTTATAGACAAAAAAAAAGAAGAAGAAGAGAAAAGGGCCATATTAGACAACAACAAAATATTTTTAAAAAAACATAGGAATCTACCAAGAGTAAAAGAATAGGGACCACATGCTTCAAAGTAAAACTTTACATACACAAAATATATAATATAATACCTAAAATCTAAAAAAATGGACCATTTAGTAAAATATTTCATACCTACCAATAGTAAAGGCATATCTGACTAACACAAATTTAAAAGTATTATGAAATAAAGGGAGAAACGACGAGTAAAGGCAGAAAAGAACAAACTTGAGACAACAATAAAAAAATCTTACTCAAAATCAACATAGTAACACACAACACTAACATAAATAGACAACACTAAACAAAATTGTAGTATCACCATAAGTAATTGTCAAAAAAGCACAGAATACACGAAATATTAACATAAATAGAAATCGACTCTCAAAACAAGTAACATCGATTAAAACATAAATCCTAACTGAAATTTCGAAGTGCACAAAAGTTCTTACTTGAGTTCAAGTCGAGATTGTGAACGAATTTTCTTCAAGTTGCAAGATGAAGAAGAAGAAGAAGAAGACAATGAAGTAGCGTGGGTTTGTGAAAATTGGAGGAATAAGGTTTTAGGCTTTTTTAGTTATATAGGTTTTTTTTTAAATTGGGTAAGTGAGGCGGGTTTAGTTAAAATGGGTGGGTAATGGGTGGGTTTTAAATTATTTTAAAAAATTAAATTACAACCAATGGTTGAGTGCCACATAATTAAAAATTATAATTCAATTTTTTTTAATTTTGGTCCGTTAATGAAGCGGTAAATTTGGAACCAAAGATGGATGTGAAGGGTATTTGGGGGCTAATAGGTGGATGGGGTAATTGTGTACCATTTTCAATAGTTCAAGGGTATTTTAAGCCATTTTCCGTATTAATTATAAGGTAGGCAACTAGGAATACTAAATCACCCACAAATCAAATTAGAGCATGGACATGACTATATTTTATATTAGAACTGATAGAATTGGAATTTAAAAATTACCAAAAATAGTAGCACAAACAGCAAAAAAAAGATAATCACACATTTGAAAAATCAAAATAAAAAATAAAAATAAATCAAATTAAGAGAACATAAAGATCATCTGCCTATAAATTGTAACTTTTTAATCGTAGTTCTTCCTGTTGCTTATTCTTGTTTGCAGTTGTTGCCAGAGACGACCGGAGAACAGGAGAGGAGGAGGATGGCGGAGAGGGGAGGGTGATGTCGGTCAGAGTTGTCGCTGGCTCGAGCTGTTGCCGCTCGCCGGTTGCTAGAGCCGCTGGTCGCCTCGCTTGGCTGTCTTCGCGAGCTTCTATTGGAGAAGAGAGGAGAAGGATCATCGAGTTCCGCAATTGTTGCTCGGATCACTGCCTCGCCGGAGTTCGCTGCTGGAGAGAGAGAGGGGAGATTGGGCGGCTGATTATGTTGGTTTCGGTGGTCCTAACAAGAAAAGGAACGGCGGCGGAGCAGCGCCGGCTATTGGTTGCTTGCTGCTCCTCAACGGACTGCTGTGGAGAAGAGACAGGAGGGGGAGAGAGGAAGAAAGAAGAGAGGAGGGAGGAGCAGAGGCTAGGGGAGAGAGAAGGCATCGCCACCTTTGGCGTCCTACGCCGAAAAGTGGTGAGCAGAGAGAGGGTGGCGGATTCCTTTGGAGAAGTGACAGAGGCAGCTGGAGAGACGGGTGAGAGAGAGGGTGAGAGAGAATAGGATGATCTTTTTAGGGATTAGGTTTTTTAGTGTAAAAATAGGAAGAAATAGGAGATTTAATCACAATCATTAAATTATTTTAGATGAGAGGTTGAGATTTAATTTTAAGGAGGGATATACGAGATTAAAAATTGAAAATATTGAATGGGATCTGAAATGATTAAAAGTGCAATAGAAATTAGTTATAATTAAGACAAAAGGGTGGTTTTTTTGAAATTAGAACTGAATTGATTAGAATTGAAAGAAATTAGAATAGAACAGGCTAAGATTTAAATAATTTTGAGGAAATTTAAAGAAATGTTATTCAATTCAAATACTATAAATATAATAATATATTTTATATAATTAAAATCACTTAAAGTTTGGGACATTTGAATAAAATAATTATTTAGAAATTCATTACTAATTATTTACAATATTTTATAATATTGACAATAATTTTATAAAGTAAATATACTAAAATATATGATTTTTATGCAAAATCGACTAAAATTCTAAATTTAAAATAAGTTTTAAAATACGTATTTAATCGAATAGGATTCCTTAAAATTGTTAAAAATCGGTCAAAATTATATGTCAATAATGAGGTATATAATTTTTTATAATTTTTCATTACTTATGTGATTTTAGTCTTTTTTATTACTTTTGTGGTATATGTCTATGTGAAATTATATTTTTATTTTTCATAAAAAATAAAGATAAATTAAAATGCATTTATATTTTGTACATGTTATAAATCCATTGATGTGGATATCTTCTATAACTCTTTCTGAAGTTCATATATGAAATAAATGAAAACTATTTAATTCATGCAATTTGAAAATAAATTTTTTACTATAACTAAGTGATGATTATTTTATAAAATTTGTATAAAAAGGTACAATCAAAAAGTTAATAAGAAAGAAATACGAAAACATTATCTTCCATATATCTTGTTTATATATTTATTGTCTTATATTAATTTATATTGCTAATATTTCACAATACATTATCAACACGAGTCTTTGACCAATTGAGACTAATTAATTCAAAATTATTCTTTTTCTAAAAATTAATCAATTTTCTTTCTGAGTAAGGTATACATAGGTATACATTTATATGTCAATAACATCCCTAATAGCACTTGCTTAAGTCTTTGATCTGCAATTCAATTACTGAGTAAATAACTTTCTTTAGGCATTTTATGATACTTTACTAGGTATAATAATTGATACCGTTTAGATTTATTTTTTTATTTTATTTATATGTTACTAATTAGCTTGTAACATTAAATTAAATTCTAAGTAAACTGTTACATCAAATAATCGTAAATATTTTCTTGTCATACATTTTGATAAGTATATGATGTGTCATGAAGAAGAATATTACTCTATTAAATATGTCTTGAAATTCTTACAATTTTTTAGTGTTAATATCTAGAGAAAATAAATAAAATAAAACCGTGAATTGGATATGATAACTTATTTTAGCACTTAAACTACACGAGTGTTTAAATACCCTCCTTAACATCTTTGAACTGAATTAAAAATCACTCTAAGATTATTATACCACTTTCACTTGCAACAACATAGCCATGTAAGTGTCACATCATAGTCATGTCAACACCACGTCATTGATTAGTTTTTTAATTAATTGTTTTCACAAATTTTTCTTCAAGACTTTTAAAATTAATTTATACTAAATAATTAATTACAAATGCATTTTCTAAAATTGAAGTTTAAATTGTGGGTCCATTTTTATACCCCCATACCCAACCCCCACTCACCCCCTTCACTTCTTTCTTCTTCCTTCTTCCTTCTTCTTCACCATTTCTATTGAAACTAATAATAAATATTGTGAAACAATTAAAATTACATATGAAATCTACTGGTTCAATGCTTCATGAGTCTAAATGCCCTTAAGACATTCTACGTTCATGTGTATAGTATAATTTATAATCATATCATGCTTTATTATTTGAACATTAATTTACCATTATTATAATATTAACTCAATTATTCTATGACAATTGTAATCATGTCGAATATGTCAAAGCTTGAATTTGTGACACTTGACATTTCTAGAAAGAACTGTTTGTCATGGATACTTGATGCTAAAATTCACTTACAGCTAAGAATATTGGTGATGTCATAATCAAAGGAAATAAGGTATCAAAGTTAGGGTAAAGTGAAAACTATTATTTTTCTTTCGTCATCATCTTGATGAAAGTCTGAAGGTTGAATACTTGATAATAAAAGATTAACTTGAATTGTGGATAGGCACCTTATTACAACTCCTAACATCAATGCATTTATTGCTACCAAATGATTCAAATACTTTAAACTAAGATGTCCTAATCTAGAATGTCAAATAGCCTCTGACTTCTTCCAATATTATGTTGTCAAAGAAAAATGGTTGTTGTCTTCCAATTGATATAGTCGTTTTTATTAAAGACCTTGGCCGGTGGTGTCCTTGGCTTCTTTTCCTTAATATGAAAACCAAATTCTTGAAGCTTAAAAGCCGCGAAATTGTCTTTGCCAGTTACTAAAAGAGAGAACATTCAATGTGATTTTAGGCACTACTTGTATATCTTTAGCTTTCAAACCTGATTTGTTAAGATTTTCAACTTGTATAATTTCTAATTGAGAACCATTCCTTACAATTATTTAATTTTTTCCTTTAAAGATTTGAAGATCTGACATATTATCTTATGTGTTTGTCATAGTAAGTTGTTGCACCAAAATCACGTAGATTGTAGCATCTTCACATGTGGCATTAATATGTTCAGAAGCTAGGGCCTATGGAAGATCATCTTCAACCTGATAAGAGTGATCCCACTTGTAGAAGCACTTCAAAGAGTGTAATTATTTCCATCACCAATTTGGTATAAAATAGGTGTGGATTTTCCTTTCTTAGTGTTTATAATCTACATATTTAGAATGTCCTGATTATTATTTAAATGTCCAGCAACCTTGAATCTTCTTCCTCTTGAGTTAAAACAAGGGTTGCATGTCTTTTTTATTATAACTCCCTCGACCCCTACCTTTTTGTGCCGTAAATGTCATGCTATAATCTTGTTGGGCACAACTTCCTCTCCTTCTCTCATGTAAGAAAC